TCTTTTATACAGGTAACGAGCTGAGATTAGGAGCACACTCTTAAAGGGAGTGCTCCTATTCTCAGCTTGTTACCTGTATAAAAGGCACCTGTCCTCAGAAGCAATCAATCAATCAAATTCCAAACTCTCCACCATGGCCAAGACCAAAGAGCTCTCCAAGGATGTCAGGGACAAGATTGTAGACCTACACAAGGCTGGAATGGGCTACAAGACCATTGCCAAGCAGCTTGGTGAGAAGGTGACAACAGTTGGTGCGATTATTCGCAAATGAAAGAAACACAAAATAACTGTCAATCTCCCTCGGCCTGGGGCTCCATACAAGATCTCATCTTGTGGAGTTGCAATGATCATGAGAACGCTGAGGAATCAGCCCAGAACTACACGGGAGGATCTTGTCAATGATCTCAAGGCAGCTGGGACCATAGTCACCAAGAAAACAATTGGTAACACACTACGCCGTGAAGGACTGAAATTCTGCAGCGCCGCAAGGTCCCCTGCTCAAGAAAGCACATATACATGCCCGTCTGAAGTTTGCCAATGAACACCTGAATGATTCAGAGGACAACTGGGTGAAAGTGTTGTGGTCAGATGAGACCATAATGAAGGTCTTTGGCATCAACTCAACTCGCCGTGTTTGGAGGAGGAGGAATGCTGCCTATGACCCCAAGAACACCATCCCCACCGTCAAACATGGAGGTAGAAATATTATGCTTTGGGGGTGTTTTTCTGCTAAGGGGACAGGACAACTTCACCGCATCAAAGGGACGATGGACGGGGCCATGTTATATCAAATCTTGGGTGAGAACCTCCTTCTCTCAGCCAGGGCATTGAAAATGGGTCGTGGATGGGTATTCCAGCATGACAATGACCCAAAACACACGGCCAAGGCAACAAAGGAGTGGCTCAAGAAGAAGCACATTAAGGTCCTGGAGTGGCCTAGCCAGTCTCCAGACCTTAATCCCATAGAAAATATATGGAGGGAGCTGAAGGTTCGAGTTGCCAAATGTCAGCCTCGAAACCTTAATGACTTGGAGAAGATCTGCAAAGAGGAGTGGGACAAAATCCCTCCTGAGATGTGTGCAAACCTGGTGGCCAACTACAAGAAACGTCTGACCTATGTGATTGCCAACAAGGGTTTTGCCATCAAGTACTAAGTCATGTTTTGCAGAGGGGTCAAATACTTATTTCCCTCATTAAAATGCACATCAATTTATAACATTTTTGACATGCGTTTTTCAGGATTTTTTGTTGTTATTCTGTCTCTCAATGTTCAAATAAACCTACCATTAAAATTATAGACTGATAATTTCTTTGTCAGTGGGCAAACGTACAAAATCAGCAGGGGATCAAATACTTTTTTCCCTCACTGTATGAATCAAAATCAACATGTATTTATCCCAACGTAATACAAAAATGACTACAAAAGATGTAGACACCAAGGCGCATGACCACAGGTGGGACTGGCCACAGCGGACCGAGTTCTCTGTGGGGAGGACCAACGTCAAGTGGGAACAAACAAACCAAATTGTTACACAGTGTTACCGCTCACGGTCAACACCAGTGACGATTATCTGAACCGGTCCTGGGCCTCCTCCCCTAGGTCGACTCAGCCTCAAAATGAGTACCCGCTGCGATGCGCAGACATCGCCACGAGGGGAGACAAAGGCGGCCGGGCATGGTGCTGGCCACTCGCCCCCTCGTCTGCCGTGCCGGCCTTCATAGGTGCTCGCTGACGGCACTTGCCCCAACAGTCTGTTACAGGCTATACGGGAGATTGTTGTCTTTGCCTTATGTATGTTAGCATGTCTGTGACTCGTATATCTTGTGTGTATTGTGTAGTGCTGTGTATTTGTCTACATCTGTGATTGTGTCTTTGTGCACATTTATGTCTGTGTGTGTATGTTTCAGGAAAGGGAGGTAGGTACTGCACGGATTCCATATTCCCTTGCGCCTCTTTCACAGCAGAGGTGTAAGCATGGCCTACATCTCAGCGTTTTTGCCCTGGTCAAGGCCGATGATACCACCTAGAGGGGAGGTTGTCTTTGGGGTCTTCAATCCTCTCTGCTCATGATCATCATTACAGGCGAACTCCTCTTATCCACGGCCTGATTATGCGCGATTCCTATTATCATGGCAGCTGGAGGGTCCGCAAAAATTCGTATTATCGGCGGATCTGCGGTCTTCCTGTTATCCGCGATCTTACCCATATTGTATCGCGAAGCGGCTTTCTCATCGCCATATTTCCACGCATAAGAGGAGTCGGCACTGCAAATTCATCCTATTATCCGCAGGGGTTATCGACGATATTCCACCCCACGGATAATAGGAGCAAAGTCCCGCATAACCCCCTGGATAATAGGATCCGCGATATCGGTCGCCCCTTAACACCGCGGATTCGAGGAGTTCTGTATTTCATGCATAAATATATATTTAAAATCTAATGAATATATGACGAGAGGCTGATCAAAATGCCTGGATGCAGTCGAGTGATGGCTCCCTACTGTTCAACCATGTTGATGCATCGCTGATGACCTGGCAATCGCTGCGAAATGTATATACGCGTGTCGAACTTCTTTCGCACCATACGTCGCCAACCGTGCTGACCGGAGGTGCGGGGAAGGACACACAAACTAAGCACAAAAAGCAGTTCTCAAGCGAGCGGCTCTGATAAGTAGCCTGCCGAAGCAAGAGCTGCCCCCCAAACTCAGAGACGAGGGCCTTTACCACGAGAACCACCAACAGAGGAACCTTATGGCGGGACCCCGGGGTCCCATAAGCCCCCGGGCTCTCGAATAAACTGCGTTGCGACGTCATTTTATGTCTGTTGAAGGCGAATGGTGCGGCAATCGACTCCTCTCGACGAGCTCTACACGATGCGCTAATCAAAGTTTCAAAGTTTTGTTTCCTCTGCGCATTTGCTCTCGCTGCTGCGCTTGGACGCGACAACGGAACGATCCTCGCCAGGTGGATCGCGGCGTTTATGTGCGCGGTGGAACGGAGTCGCCAAGAATATTTTACTTAATTACGTCTTGACTTAAAGCTTTCGTGACTGCAGGAATTCATATTCTTTGGGTCTTTGGGTAAAGTCACGTAGATAGGTTGAAATAAAATAACAAAAAAACTACGACGTTTCGAACACAACACAGGACCTTTAAACCTTTAAAACAGTCTGCCTCAGCAGCTTTCCTCTTTTCTCCTCCTGATGACGAACGCTTGTGTTGTGATAGAAACGTCGTAGTTTTTTTTTGTTATTTTCTTTCAACCTATCTACGTGACTTTACCGAAAGACCCAAATAATACTTAATTACGATTTTGTCTTCCGTTGATTGGGGACCCCGGTGTCCCGAATGAGGTTCATTTAATACCAACGCGAAGCACTCTGCATGGGTACTTAGCCCGTTGTTGATTCAACACAATTGTGATGTGCCACGGCGGTAGTTGGGAAGTTGTGCCGACAGGCATCACCAGTCAGGTGGAAATGTAAAGGCGCAGCACCAAAGGATTGCACTCGCTCACGCCACCGGCTGACGGATCGGGTTCCCCAGAGAGCAGTGACGTGCGGTGAGGTCAATGGCTTGGGAGGCACTGGCTTGTGTCAGAGCCAGATTCACACACTGAGGGGGGCGTGGCCTCACTGAGGGGGCGTGTCCTCACTGAGGGGGGGGGGGGCGTGTTAGACACGCCCCCCCCCCCCCTCAGTGAGGCAGATGTGATAGCTGCCTCCCCTGGTGCTTTTATATTGCAGTTTCATGACGAGACCAGCGAGCCTAAATATCTTTATACACATACGTGAAATAAGTTACCTGGAGTATGGAAGGCGAGGACATGAAACGAAGGGGTCTACAAACATTACATTGGTGACATACTGAGATAGTAACAGGCACGCGATTATTTCCCGCGCTCCATCCAGTTACTGAGGGGTTGCGCAATCAGAGGGGAGGCTGAGCTCGTCGCTGCCTCACCTCTCGTCTCTCGCTGTATTTGCAGCGGAGCTCCGCAAAATTTGGCGATTTTGACGATAAAATGATTGGAATCGTACAGAAATGACATTTATAACACAGATCAGTGGAAAAATCTTAATTTTCAGTTGATTATTTTTTACTTTTCGTAACAGCTATTTTCATTGGAGTATGACAGGTGAGGCTCTGCCTCCCCTGCCTCCCTTGACGTGCGCACGTCCCTGCCAGAGAGGGGCGGCACGAGTACCCACACTTCACCCCACCACAAGGTCGACTTTACTGGGGTGGAGCAAAGTATATACTGCTGGGTGGAACAATGCACGTGCTTTGTCATTTCAACTGCCGTGCCCGGAGATCGAATCGGCGACCTCTGTGGACTGCAACTCCAGTGTTGCCACCATTACACAACATATATTATTATTATGGAAAAAAAGTATATATGTTTAAATATTTCTGTTTTCGAAGTTGTGTGTTTTCACTTGTGTGTGGGCTGTTTTTCATGCGCGTGTGAGGAAGCCAGAGTGCCTGGAGTCATCTCACAAACACTCGGGGATAGCGCTTAAAGCTCCGCACAGACGGATACAAGAATCCATCGCCCGCAGGCCAAACCTGACAACCCGTGGTTTTCATTGCCAAGGGGGCCTTGCCCATACAACTACTGACCGGCCTCCGACCTACTCAGCTTCACAGGATCTGCTCCACGGGCAGCTCAGCAATCCATTTGCTGTACTGCCACCTAGTGGCGCCACCACTGCCCAACAGTTCCAGATGACAGCGCGTTCCCATCTCTTCATGATCCACCAACCCCCAACTACAAATCGCCGATCTACAATGTGCATTAACACATGTAAATGCAAAGGCGCAGCCCTGCAATTGCTTGCTCATGCCACTAGAGGGGGCTCCTGGGAGCGAGCTTCTCTAGAGGGTGTTTTTTTGGCCTACTCTTCCACGTTGGCTGGCCGTCTAGGCATGCAATGTCTGGGAAGCTCTCATGACACACGCGTGCATCGCCACAGCAAAGCAACAAGCACATTTGCTTACCTTGAGCATCAGCGAGGGTTGTGGCCATTATGAGTTAGAAATCTGCGCAGCCGGCACGTACCGTATTCATCCTAAACGAGGGCTTGCTTGCCAATCAAGACACACGCGCACGCGTAGTGACGAGCTGCAATGATGGCTTGATATACAGACCACTAACCACACGACCAATAACCCCCCCCCTCCACCTAATACCGTTCAATACACAGCACAAATCGCGCTGTGTTCTCCGCTTGCCGAATTATCCCGACGCCTCGAGGCGCCTATTATTCGCCTGTAACATTTATGTGTGGAAACGGTAGCGTTGAGAATTTAGAGAAGTAGCTATAATGCATATGCCGGTGTCAGGAGTGAGAGCACAATGCAGTGCCGTGTGTGTGTCTTGGTTAACACGATGGCTCCTGCTAAACACGATGCACAGGGAGCGGCGGCGCCACTGAAAATAAAGACCACGAGCCTCTGAAATCGCCACCAGAGGGCGGCAGGTGCCACGACTACAATATTTCGATTTAAAGCTTTCGTGACTGCAAGGATTCATCTTCTTTGGTTCTTTCGGTAAAGTCACGTAGAATGAGAATAAAATAATAAGTTAATAAAATAACACAATAAAATTCTCACGACGTTTCGGCCACAACACAAGTGGCCTTCATCTCGTCCCTTCACCTGATGAAGGACACTTGTGTTGTGGCCGAAACGTCGTGATAATTTTATTGTGCTATTTTATTAATTTATTATTTTATTCTCATTCTACGTGACTTTACCGAAAGAACCAAAGAAGACTACAATATTATGTGTGTGTGTTGAACTTCTTTCGCACCGTACATAGCCAACCGTTCTAACCGGTAGGTGGCATAGTTCCATAGTTCCATTTTAGTTCCATTTATTTGGTATAGCCCTGTGAGCCATTCGGCTCTTGAATCGGGTGCAACCGCAACAAACAAAACACAAAAACATGAACAAGAAAACATCTTAAAGTGACTATGTGACTGTGCAAACAGAAAATCCAGGAAAAAAACATCAAAATATTCCTCTGTCTGCACACGCAACTTTGCACGATTTTACCAAAGAACTCTGTGGCCCTAAGCTTTTTAATTAAAACAAATATCGAATAGGCAACGTTTCGGGCAATGCTCCTTTGTACCACCGATTTGTGTGCTGATTTATGTTCTCTGAAAAAGGAGCCATTGCCTGAAACTGCAAATAATTTTCCCTCTCAAGGCCGCAGTTTTTGTGTAGTTAATTGTGCTTGTACACCACCTGCCGACAGACGAGCAAGCAGCATCATCACCACCACCGTCAAATAATTTGTCTTGACATGGACAAGAAAAATTTTGATTTAAAGCTTGCATGACTGCAGGGATTCATATTACTGGTTATTTCGGTAAAGTCACGTAGAAGGGAAACAATACAATAATAAAAATATAAAACAATAAAATTATCACGACGTTTCGACTGCAACACAAGCAATCATCATCAGGTGTGAAAACCACAACTAGAACATTTTTTCTAATTTTTTAACATTTTCTAGTTTTTACACCTGATGATGATTGCTTGTGTTGCAGTCGAAACGTCGTGAGAATTTTATTGTTTTATATTTTGATTATTTTATTGTTTTCCTTCTACGTGGGCTATAGGGTGCCCCTGAAGAGGGTGACCTATACCAGTTAGGGGTCGCCCATAAATGACGTCGCGCGATTTTGGACGTTTTTTGATCCCCCCCCCCCCCCACTTCGTCACACGGCGTCACAAAAAGTCAGACACCCCCCCCCCCTCAAATATGACGTCACAAAACTCTGCCCCCCCCCTAAAATCGCTTTAAACTATTGTCATTGTAGTGCGTATTTAATGTGGCGCTGCACTCTGATGTTGTAGGAGTGTTATAACAATTCTATATTTATTGAAAGTTGCGCATTTTGATGTGACGTCACATTTCTCAACCCCCCCCCCTCGTCACACATCGTCACAAATGTCTGACCCCCCCCCCACCCCTAGGTGCGTGACGTCATTTATGGACGGCCCCTTAGGTGCCAATTATAATAATTAGTTTTTGACATAGTGCCACATGCGCAGAAGCGTCTCAGGTGGCCATAACCACCACTCATCTGTTGTGGTGGCCTTAGGGGCCGTCCATAAATGACGTCACGCACCTAGAGGTGGAAGGGGGTCAGACATTTGTGACGATGTGTGACGAGGGCTCGGGGTTTGAGAAATGTGACGTCACGTCAAAATGGGCAACTTTAAATAAATATAGACAACACGTTCTACTTAATTAAATAGACTTTTCAATAAATGTTTTCTCCTACAACATCAGAGTGCAGCGCCACATTAAATACGCACTACAATGACAATAGTTTAAAGCGATTTGAAGCATGTGTTTTTTTTGGGGGGGGAGGGGCAGAGCTTTGTGACGTCATATTTTAGGGAGGTTTGACATTTTGTGACGACGTGTGACGAGTGGGGGGGGGGGGGGTCAAAAATCGTCCAAAATCGCGTGACGTCATTTATGTACGGCCCCTTAATAGGTGCTCGCTGACAGCACTTGCCCCAATAGCCTGTGTCGGCTGCACGGGTGATCCTTATACTGTACTTGTGTATGCTGTATGCATTGGTGGCGAGCGCTACGAACCTGGCCACCCGAGTTCGATTCCTGCTCAACGGCCAACACCCAGTGACGATTATCTGAATCGGTCCTGGGCCTCCCCCAGGTCGACTCAGCCTCAAATGAGTACCTGGTGCCGTGTGTAAACATCGCCACTGGGGAGACAAAGGCGGCCGGGCGTGCAGTGCCGGCCTTCATAGGTGCTACTCGTGAACAGCACCTTGCCCCGACAGTCTGTTAAAGACTACACGGGGTAATCTTTGTCTTCTTGTTATTGTTGTTGTTGGTGGTTGTGTTGGTGGTTGTTAATTGAGACGACGGTGTTGGCCACCCACCCCCTCGCGTGCCGTGCCGGCCTTTATAGATGCTCGCTAAAACACATGCCCCTACGGTCTGTTACGGGCTACACGGGGGATTTTTTTGCATGTTGGTGGCAGCGTGGTGCGGTGGAAAGACGTGTGCCTCACAGCCAACAATAAAATGTCCCTGGCTCGATTCCTAACACGTGCACCTTTGTGTGTGGAGTTCGTATGATCTTCCCCTGTTCTGCACGGTTTCTTCGGTTTCCTCTCATAGATAACACAAAAAACCCATACACTGTAAATATTTGCAAGATCCTCGTGATAAAAGGATTCTTTGGACTGGGGAAAATAAGTAGAACAATGTAATTGCAATCAAGGGTGCATTTCAGAATATGGGGGGGGGGGGGGGGGATGCTGGCCTTAACAGGTGGTAGATGACACCACTCACCCTGCCAGTCTGCAAAGGCTACACGGGGAATCATGTTTTAAATGTTTATAACGGTAACGTTCTTAGTGAAATGGCACGAGAACATCGCAAATCCGAAAAAAAAATCCTAAGTCTTATCCAAACCTCTCCCAACCTATCACCTTATCTGCAAGGATTAGCCTCCCACAGGCTTGTTGACTTACGTCTTTAATTTCTGCAGATGCATCACGAAGTTAATTCGCCTTAATTCTTCGCCGGCAAAGTCATGGCAACAAGTGGGAGGTGATTACGCAGACATGAAGGTGACAGGGTACCCGGGGAGGGATTTTTGAGGGGTTTTGGGTACAAGGGGAAGTGGTGGGGCAAGGCCTCAAGTAAACCAAATCAGAGGATAGGCGCCCCAAGTTTGGTATCCTCCCCCCGGCGCCTTCGATGAGCACGGGTTTGGCTACGTACAGGTGCGAAAGAAGTTCAACGTTCAATATATACGTACATACATGACCAAATACGGGCGCAACAACAACACAAATATGTTCGAATTCATGTACTTATATATAAAAAAACGATCAGCTCGTCGTTCTATTATCTTTACTAAGCGAAATGTAATTGTAATGAATTTGTTCACGGATACATTTCACACAGCAGTGATATCATTAAGTAATGAAGTTTTGTCCAGTAGATAACGTTTGTGGTCATGTGATGCAGGTTAAGAGGAGCATGGTTGGGCAGAGTGAATCTATTTTATTGTATCGTGTGAATTTAATGTTTTATCTGGATAGAGTCCCTTGAGATGGGACATGTCGTTTTAGAGGATGTATTTGGCTGGTAGAAATTTCCACTACGATAAGCGACTTCATTGAGCTATCATTTGTGACCAGTTCGCTTCTAAAAAAGAGTTATATATTTTGATTTAAAGCTTTCGTGACTGCAGGGATTCATATTCTTGGTTCCTTTGGTAAAGTCACGTAGAAGGGAAACTAAATAATACAAACATAAAACAATAAAATTCTCACCATGTTTCGACTGCAACACAAGCAATCATCATCAGGTGTGAAAACCACACCAAGAAAATTTGAAAAAAGTGGCGTTTTTTTAACGTTAGCACCACGGAGAGCGATTTGGCAGTTATTCAGATAGACGAGTCCATCTATGTTCGGAAAAGAGGAGGGGGGAGACGAAAATAATGGATGCCGTATGAAAGCCACCGTAAGCGTGAACAATCAATTAAGACCCGAAATGGTTGATCAAATCCTTCCAATGATTGCTAAGCCAGAATCCATCTTCTCGGTTGAAATTGTCTGTGTTTGTATATGTGGAAAGCCTCATGAATGAATCTCTCATGGTAGCCAGATGGCTTGCAGAGAACCTCTGTCTTGGAGAAGTCAATGTCACGTGAGCTGAGCCTACTGAATTATAACAGTGATCTGTCACGGCCGAGGTGTTGGTCCTACCGTGTTTTAGGTCTGCTTTGTGTTCACGGATGCGGTCCGAGACATGTCGTTTGGTTTCTCCAATGTAACTACTAGTACAGAGGCAACTTAGTTTGTAGACGCCAGGGTACTGTATGTCCGGAATCACATCTTTTACAGACGGAACCAGATCACGGATTTTATGTAATGTGTTGAATTGGACCTGGATCTTGTGTTCATTCAAGATTTTGGAGATCTTTTTTGTGATCCCCACAATGTAGGGTAAAGTAATGGTTTTGAATGGCTCCTCAAAAGGGTCCTTCTTCATGGTTGGAGTGATAGCTTTGTGGATTGTGTAGTCGGAGTAACCATTAGCCTTAAGAGCTTGGTGTACGTGCTTGAGTTCACTGGCTATGTGTTCCTGGTCGGATATGCATTGGGCTCTATGGTGCAGAGTCTTGGAATTCTTATGGGATGGATGGTGGTGGGAATCCGGTTTCAGGTAAGCATCCGTATGGGTAGCTTTCCTGTAGACAGAGTGGCTCATTGAACCATCAGGTCTCTTTTTTATTAGGACATCCAAAAAAGGTAGCTTGCCATCTTTTTCGACTTCCATGGTAAATCTGATGGTTGGGTGTATGGAATTGCTATTATGCAGATTTCCCTCATCAAGACTCTGCACCATAGAGCC